TTGATGTTGAAGAGATGGCGGCTTCATTTGGCGTATTGAGAAATCCTCTAGTAATTATGTTCTATAGTACCCGTTTTGCCCCAATTATTCCACATTATAATGAGAGGAATAATAATTTTTCAAAGAATGCATAGCTTAAAAAAAGGAAAGTTTTTAGATTTACGCATAATATTATTTTATTGAATAATACAATTGCAATTTGATAGAGAATGTTTCTTAACGCATAATCAATTGTGACATAAATTCGTTTTTCTAATTGCATGCTGGATTAATATATAAATGTGCTTGATCATAATTTTGAAATTAATTTGTCGGTGAAGGCTAGAAGAGAACTTGCGATTACACGGAATAGATATCTTTTAAGAATGAGAGTGAAAGGACGATCCTGACAATTTTTAAGTTTTTATATGAGATTATTCAATACGATTTCGGAATTAACAATCAATTCAATGTATTTATTAAAATTGTGCATATGTCATACTTTTAATGAAAAATGAATTTCTGATTTTCATGTGGAGGGAATCATTGAATAAATAACGTGTTCCTAGATCAAGGGCTTTAATGATACGAGTACATAACATGTGCAATTTTTAAGTTTTTATATGAAATTGTTCGATATAATTTCGGAATTAACAATCAATTCAGTGCATTTATTAAAATTGTGCATATGTCATACTTTTAATGAAAAATGAATTTTTTATTTTCACGTGGAGGGAATCATTGAATAAATAATGTGTTCCTAGATCAAGGTCTTTAATGATACGAGTACATAACACGTGCAATTTTTAAGTTTTTATATGAAATTGTTCAATATAATTTTGGAATTAACAATCAATTCAATGCATTTATTAAAATTGTGCATATGTCACACTTTTAATGAAAAAATAATTTTTGATTTTCACGTGAGAGAATCATTGAATAAATAATGTGTTCCTAGATCAAGGGCTTTAATGATACGAGTACACAACACGTGCAGTGCACATGATTTTGTATATATGTTGATGTTTTCTATTCATATATAACAATTCTTCTAATTTTTGAGAAATTTTCTAAGTATTAGAATTGTTGATATCTAAGTACTTGAATGCGATACAATTCATATATGTAAAACCATTTTGCACATTATCCATAAGAAAATAATGTTGAACTGACTCTATTTTCGTGTACTAAATTTAAAGATAAATTAACGGTAGAGATTATTGAATTATTCGAATAGCATTACAATACTTTGTTCAATCCACATTAAAAAAAAAAAATAAAGAAAGAAGGGGAAAAAAAAAAGAATATTGTACTTTGATATTTTGCACCCTTGCCATTGCATAAAAGATTATGCAGTTAATTTAATTTTTACATATGACATATACAATTCTATACCTCGATATTATCGTGATAAAAGATTGTGAGTCTCTCTCTAAAGTAAACACGTCTTTTTTTTTCATCTCATTCTTGCCCTAAAGAATATTTTGTTATAGTTTTATTATGGTGTGGTATCATTGATTGGGTTTTTTATATATTAAAACGAGTTGGATTGTACCTTAACAATGGTTGGAGGTTCGATTGATTATTTGTAATCAGAGGCGGACGCAGAAGTTTAAAGTTAGGGGGTACAATCGAACTTGTAAAGAAGTTGGGAGAAATTTTACAATAAAAAATTTACGTACAAAAAAACATACCCCATGTAATTTTGCATTCGAAAATTTACATGTGATATGACTTTCTTGTTGTGATATATTTGTGGATATCCAAGAGATACTTGGATATCAATTCTATAATCTCGTTGAGAAGAAGATATTCATCTCAAGACATGTCATACTCTTGGATAAAGTGTTTATTCTAAGAGAGACGGTGGGAGAAGAATAAATTTTGAAAGAGTTCAAGATTTCACGGATATAATTGATCGAGTAGATGAACCCGAGTTTTATCCCATACCTGCTAAGTGACATACTCTTGATCAGGAAGTGGAGACTTCCGAGGACACGTTAGCTCCATGTAAATCTTGTAAGATCATTTGACCTCCTAGAAGGTACGAATTCATGATTACTAATCAAGGATAATGAACCTACTAATTACGCAGAAATAAAGTCAAGTGTTGACTTAAAGAGATGGACTTGTTGTATGTAACCAAGGTTTGACCTTGGTCGACTTGCCTAATGGATTAGAACCCATAGGTTGTAAATGAGTTTACAAGAAAATGTCAATATGGATTGAAACAAGCCTCTTGGAGCTGGAATCTTCGATTTGATGCAAAAAGTCAAAATGTTTGATTTTATCAAAAAATGAAGACGAAATGTGCGTTTACAAGAAGATAGTGGGAGTATTGTCGCATTCCTGATATTATATGTATGAGACATATTATAGGAAACGACGTCTCTATATTTCAATTGTTGAAATTATGGTTGTCAAATAATTTCTCCGTGATGGATGTGGGAGAAGCAAGTTGATCTATAGAGATAGATCTAGAAGATTGCTTAACTCATCCCAATCTATACAGATAAAATCTCGAGAAGATTTTATATGGAGAAAATGAACTGAGAGTTCATGGATAGAATGATGCTAACTTCTAGTCAGACTGGAATAATAGCACATCTCAAATAGGATATTGGTTTACTCTTAAGCGGTGTGTTGGAAATGTTCCAAATAACCGTTGATTCAATAATGGAAGCCTTATACATCATTGCTTTACAAAGCAACAAAAGTTGTGGTCTAGATCAGGGAGTTCATTACTGAACTTAGAGTAGTTCCTAACATTGTTGATCACACGCTTATGCATTGTGATACAATGGAGCCATCGTGCAAGCGAAGGAACTAAGGTCTCATCAATGATCTAAACATATGTTAAGGCAGTGTTATCTCATTGAAAAGATAATACAAAGAAATGACGTAAATAAAGAACGAATTCCCACAAGTTATTAAATTGCAGATCCACTGACAAAGAGTTGTCGCAGTATAAACATGATCGTCATGTAGACTCTTATGGTATAAGATACATAAGTGATTGGATCTAGTGCAAGTGGGAGTTTGTAAGTGTTATGCCCTAGGTCCAATCAACTTTGGACATAAACACTTTGAATATATATAATCAATGCATATATATGGCAATATCTATTATTTAATTGAATTAATATTCTAATAAATTAAATAATAGAATCCGTAGATTCAAGTCTTGGTGATTTGTTAATCACAAGGAGTTGTGATTGTGAGATACAAATTACATATGACTGAATCTTAAATCGTCCGTGGTCGAAGTAATAACGAGATACGGATATCGTTATTACGGATAGACTATCGCGTGTGGCATTCTTACTTGTGAAGTAAGTAGCTGATCTCACAAGCTAAAGTGTGGTGACACTTGAATGAACACGTGGATGTTTTGTTATAGAACAAAACATTGGAGACCCGCTGAGAGATTCCACATGGATAACTATCTAAGTGTTAGTGGTTAATCTCTAACGTTCGGTAGTGGAATTGGTCCTTTGACTTGAGGTCATCATAGTACCTTATATGAGGGCAGTCATACTTTGGTGATGTTGGATGTTGCTCTGTCAAGGGTCGCTAATACAGCATCGTTCGGGTATGTCAAGAATCATATGAAGGTTGTGAATGATCAATAGAGGATTCGTCACTCTTAGATAGTAAGAGATTATGATCTACATTTTATCCAGTTAAGTTGATAATGAAATCCTTGGCCAAGGTGAACTCATAAGTCGGAAAAGAGTTTTCGACGTACATTGACTTAACAGTGGGATAAAAGATATGATCGATAATTGAGATTGACACATATCCATATCTCATAATTGATCGGATCATATTGACGAAAGGATTATAGTTTCACGGTAAACGAACAAGTTTGGTTTTGTCATGCTACGTGATATTTCCCGTCACATGTATTGCCCTGATACATTGCTAGATGTCAATCTGGGACAACGAAAATGAATTAGTGATAAATTAAAAGGGGCGTTTTAATTTATCGATTTTGATTAGATCAAAATAATAATTCACGTCGTTCGGCATCGTGATCGGGAACCTAATGGGTCACACACAAAAGAGAATCAGAAGAATGAGATTTACCAATTAATTAATTGACAAGTGTTGGATAATTAATTAATTGGGTTGTTTATTAATAGGCCCGAATTAATTAATTGGATTAATTAATTCATGGACCAGATTTAATTAATTTGATTAATTAAATATTGGACCGGGTTAAGTTTAATAGATGGGCCGAGCCCATTTGGACTTATATTAATAAGCTGTTAGGGTTTGTAAACTGTATGGAATTTTCATTATTCTTGCTAGCACAAGAAAAGAAAACCCTAGCCGTCATTCTTGTTCTCTGTGTGGATCACCATTGGAGGCTAGACAATTGGATAGCTTGGATTGCAGATCGTGATCATTGGAGTTCAAGAAAAAGCAAAAGAGTTTGTGGAATTCATCAAAGGTATCATTCTCATCACAGTTTCTATCTAAACACATTGCAGATCATCGTTTGGGAATTGAAAATTATTTTATTTCCTCTGTGCATGTTAAGTAAATTCCCAACACTGTCTCTGCAAGACTAGTTAGTGTTAAAGATGAATTTACTGAAAGATTAATAATTGTCTTTTCAATCAAAGAGTCGGGGTGGGGTGGGTATGTATGGTTTGAGTTTTTTTTTTAAATAATTTTATTATAGAAATGTAAAGTTACCATTTTATCATTTTAAATTAATCAAAATTATGATCAAAGTCAATTCTTTGGTCAACTAACGGTTAAACTAACAGTTTCCATCCATTTGAACTCTGAGTGCGAATTTTTTAAAGGTTTGTACCGTGGGTGATACAAATGAAATGTTTAAGCAAAGTCTATTACTAAATGAAAGATTTAGTACTGTAACTGTAATTTTCCCTTTAAAATATGTAAAAACTAGAAAATGTCAAAACAAAATCTTTTCAAAGAAATTTTATTTTTTAAAAAAGGAAAAAAAAATCCAAAAATCCCCAAATCCAATTCTTCAATCTTTTCTCATGGAACCTAATAATGACAGCAGTGGACTGAGCTCTTACTTCCACCATCAGCTCCACAGCCAATTTCCTCCGCCACCAACAGCTTCCGCCGTCACCGGAAATCCATCACCGGCAAATGGAGTTGTACCCAACAGTACAACCACTAAGAACATAGCGTACCTCCATAGCGTCCCTTCTGCCGTTTCATCTCCTTTGGAGACTGTCAAGAGGAAGAGGGGAAGACCAAGAAAGTATGGTACTCCCGAGCAAGCCGCCACTGCTAAACGGCTGTCGGGTTCTTCCGTGCCCAAGAAACGGGACAACCAATTATTGACAGCTTCGGCAGCCGGATCTTCTGGTCCTTACTCCTATTCTTCCAAGAATTCCCAATTGGCTGCTCTCGGTAATCCTCCGTTCCTCAATCTCGTTCTATCTGTGCTTATATATGTATTTATGTATATATGCATGCATGTATTTAATGTATGTATAAGTATGTTTGGTTGTATAATTGTATGCATGCATGCATGCGTATAACCTTTCCCGTTGTATCTTTCAATTGTGTAGAACCTACACTTTTTAATCTTTCTATGTTATGATTTTCCGTTTAGGGAAAAAAGAACTTTATTGCTTTCTGACTCCTCGCATTTATCCTATTAATTTACACAATTGTTTTTGAGTGTTTAGATTTCCTGAATTTCACAATGTTTAAGTCAAAACAGTTCTTGATTTTGTTGGGTTTATTGTAGTTCTGCTAATGAATGCAGAAGTTAGGGAGGTGCTGTAAAGGAGAAACTATGCAGTTTTTCTTTTTTACTTAAATGTTTTGGTCAACAAACCGTGAGTTTAGTTCACCTAAACCAAGTGTGGAAGTTCAGGCCATGGATACTTATCGAACAGCGGAACAGGAAGTCATAACTGTTACCATTATAATATTTTGTGTAGCTTTTGCACGGGAAAGGATAGAACCATGTTATTATGATTGGGTTTGTGCAATTTGTTTTGTATTTCTCTAATTGCTTTTTGTTGAGTTGGTTGAGATTGAGAGATTTCTTCAACTGACAACCGTGATTCCATGACTGACTGAAGCATGGTGACCTTGTTCTTGAACTTTCAGAAGAAGATGCATATGACTCACTAAACAGTTCTTATTTATGTTTAGTAACATTGGCTAGCCTTGCCATTTTCTGTATGTTCTGAGGCATTGTGCTTTCATGTGCTCTTGTATAATGGTCATTAAACTAGAAACTTCTTCATTCATGAGTTTGCATTCTGCAATAATTAGGTCTAACATAGTTTCACCTGAGAGTTACATGAAAATTAGTTGTATTATTTAATTTTTACAAAAAATTTGATGCTGTATTGTCAACCACAGTTGTCCCAACTAGCCTTTAAGCTCTACTGATTTTTCGATCATATATTCCTTGGGAAAAGTAGAATGGCATAATCTTCTATACTGTTTTAGACTTCTAGCTATGTGCCATGTCATGCTTTTGAACTACAAATTCACACTTCTTAGCAGAAAACCTGGCTTGGTGTGGAAATAACAACAAAAGGAAAGTACTAGAAATGATAACAAGCAAAATTAGGTTCAATGTGAATGAAAAAGTGAGCCTATGGAGCTTAATTTAACAAAAGAAGAGAACTTAGACATGTGATGCATCATGGTGGTCAAATTGGGCCCCTCCCGAGACAAAATAAAAAATCATAAAAAACAGAGGTTAAAGAATCTTTTTGGACCAGTATGTATATCAAATACCATATGTGCATAATTTATACAAGGTTTTAGAACTTTTACTTGACACCTATGCCTTTTAATGTTGGGGGCGCAATGTCTATCTCTGCACTTTATGAGATGTTGGCATGTGTGCATTTCATTGTTCCTGGCATTCTGGCCATCTCCTTTGTGTTTTAATATTTAAACCTCTTGAAAACTTGAAATGTTTAATTTTGAATGTCATTTGGCATATGATATTGTTTTCCTAAAATATACACTTCTATGTTTGAAGCTTTTTTAGTTTCTTGTCATTCTGAACTATTCAATTTTCTTTTCTTATCTATGGGGCAAGTGGTCCATGCTCACGTAATATTTCTCTTTGTACCTGGGTGGTGCAGGCAATATAGTCCAAGGCTTCACTCCTCACATCATTACTGTAGCTGCTGGAGAAGTATGCTTTTACACCCTGACTATAAGATCATCTTTATATATTAGTTCTGGTATAAGATGTAGAAGCTTCCTTTATTTTGAACTTGCATCATTTTGCTAAGAATGTAAAAAAAGTTTTTTTGATAAGAATGAAATAAACTAAAATGGCATTGCCATTATTGTCTTAATTTGTCATGTTCTCTATTATGTTTGAAAAATGTTATAGAAATCAAAGAGATAGCTTACAGAAAAACTTGGGAATGTATAATGTCAGATCGCATCCTGATTAGTGAAAATTTTCGGTCTAGAAGATTCAAGATTAAATCATGATATCATTATTTGCTATTTATTGTTCAATAAGGATTTTCTCCACTTGCTCTAAATCCGAAATGGCAAAAAAGTTATTTTGAAGCTGACTGAAATAGAGTTATATAAATTTTCAAGGGATTTGTTCAAGCTTATCTAGCTTGGCCTTGTCTAAATATTAAATTTGATATAATAAGTTCAGATATCATTCCTTCTACATTAACACATCAGTTACTACTTAGACCATCTGTATGCTCATTCGGATAATCTACTTTTCATTAGTATTGTAACTATGTCAAATTTATAAATCAGTCTGGTCAGGACGTTAGTTCTATTCAAAATTAGGTAAATGGGCACATTTTGAAGCACATATTTTTAGATTAGACCTTTCTTGTGCATGTGTAAGGGACCTGCTTCTTGACCTAGATTGCTATTTACAGTTTGCCTAGTAATGATTCTTTTCTGTCTTAGATTGCAAAACATGATAAGAAAATGCAAATTCATTTAATTAATTTTTATGAAATTATAGAAAGTCAAGGGGAAGATGGTTGATGGAGTAGGATCACTGTGGTTACACAACACGACTTTGCTTCTTCTCCTCTCCCCACTCTGACATATTAACTTTTTGGAGGATGGAATTCCATATCCTAGTTGTTACCATATCAGTCGGTTTTAGGGTTTTATTTCATTTCCACTATACCTGAGAGGATTTCTCCTTTTTTCCTGCCATTCCTTTTCCTAAATAACCTACATTACCAAATGACATGTTCGTAGAAAACACTACTTTATATAGATATACTCGTTAAGATAATAAATATTCCTGTAATGGTATGTGCACGCTTAAAGCAATCGTGTTACATAAACATGCTGCTTCCCATTTTATCGTATCTCTGCTAGTAACTGGATCGCTTGACTATGTGCATGGCATAAAATGAATTTTCTGATTTACTTTTTCAGTAATAATTGTGGAATAAGATTATAATGATTGACTTTTAAGCACATATCCTGATATGAACGTCATGTTTATTGACTTTATATATCTCTTTTACTAATCCATGTCTGGATTCAATAGGGATTGTGCAGTGGTGCCTTGACTTCTTGTTAATGTCTTTACGATATTTTCGGGGTGGTTTTTGTTTGATTTTAATCCAAAAGCATTTTATATGCATGCTATTGTAACCTTCTGCCTTTATTTATTGGGTCTCCGTCAAAACCTAACAAAGCCGGCTGCATTTGCTAGGACGTGGGTCAAAAAATCATGGTGTTCTTGCAACAGAGCAAGCGTGATATGTGTATTATTTCAGCAACTAGCTCAGTTTCGAATGCATCTCTACGCCAGCCATCAACATCTGGAGGCACCGTTACATATGAGGTAGACACTATATATTATTTTCCAATGAAGCAATAAATTATCCAAAGAGAGGCTTATGTAGACATGCAGTAGTTTTGATCCCCTGGTACTACTTAGTATCATATATCTCACGAATGTGTTAGTTTTGTCCTCTCTTGTCAACTGATATCAAAGTGTAGCAAGCAAAATGCATCATAAGCAAAAATATAACCTGACATATAAGGGTGAGAATAGTGTCAATGTCCTCTTAAAATAGATTCTTTCATGAACAAGGCTGGACAAAACTCCCGAACCGAACTTGACCAAACTGGACGCGAGCCGAACTTAGCGATTCTTCTTAAGTTAAATACCAAAACGAGTATTTGAATCGAGAACGTACGAGTTCGGTTCGGTTCGGTCCGGTTCTCGGTTCTAAACCAAGAATTCAAAAGCTGAATAAGAACCGAATCTCCCAAATTTTTTTTTATTTTTTATCTTAAATAAGTCAAATTATTATTTTTTTCTAAATAAATTTGCTAACTAATTAATTTAGCCCAAACCTAAAATATGATTTTACTATTTCTAATTTCCCGCCAAGCCCAAATTAATCAAATTGACTTAAATTTTACCCAAATCTCTTATTCAGCCGTAGTGTCGTTTCGCCATTCTATTATTGTGAACTCGCTATCTTCATCTTCCTGTGATTTTAACAGTCAAATTTATGAAGAACTCAACAAAGAGAGGCGCAAAAGATATCACGAGATTGGACTACATTATTTTGTAAGAACTAAAATTGAACATGTCATACTCGAATTAATGTAGTGTTGTTGTAAATATTAAAAAAAAAAATTATTGTACGGAACCCGGTAACCGAACCGAATGGAACCGAATCCGAACGGTTTCATAATTAAATTTGGACCTGACAGTTCAACTTACTAAAGCCCCGTTTGACACCCATTATTTTGAAGAATGAGTTTTTGAATAGTGATTGATGTAAAGAATGTGTGGTTAAAAAGTAAGAAGAATTTTTGGGTTTATGTGTAATATTATTTTATTTGAAGAATATTTGTGTTTCAAGTTTACTGACTTGCAATGACATTTAGGGTGTGTTTGACACCCATTTTGGAGAAGAATAAATTCTGGAATAGTGATTGATGGGAAGAATGTGTGGTTAAAAAGTAAGAAAAATTTTTGGATTTATGTGTAATATTATTTTATTTGAAGAATGTGTGGTTAGAAATGAGTACTGTAGAAAAATGAGAATGAGAATGAGATAAAAAATGGGTGTCAAACAGGGGCTAAATACCTAAAAATTCGGGTTCGGTTCGATTCTCTTTAGAACCAAAGCGGACTGTGTCCTGCCCTGTTCATGAATTTGAATTGTGTTTGCATTTACCTTCTCAGAAAATAATACATACGACATGATTTGGATAATTTTATCTTTAATCACTAGATGCCATTCATCTATTCATGTTTTGTTTAGATTGAAAAGCTTCATATAACATTTGTAGTGGTCAAAGAAATTGTTGATGTACCCTGATCTCTAGTTTGTTATTAGAAAGTTAACAAATAAATACATTATCTTCAAGCAATTAACCATAATAGCCTTAGTGTTTGGGGTGTATGATGTAGGACAACTTAAGAGAAACACTAAAAAAGCCTGCCAAGATAAGTTCGGTAGTGGGATTTAGTTCAAATTGATGCTAGAAGTCTAAGCAAAAGGTTTGGATTACTTATAGATCGACAGAAGACGGTTTTGAGACTAAAATCAGATCTATTCGGGTCTATGAACATGCCTGAGAACGATAGTTGAGAAACTAGTCTTTAGTTGATTTTATTGCTTAGAAGATATATGGAGTACTGGTTTATTGAAGAAAAACGAGTGTTGGAAAATTGCATAGGAGGATTGTAGAAGACGACTATTCCAATCCTGGCTACTAACGACTCCTAGTAGAGAAGTCATATAGCTTGAAATAATCTAATAAGACCCTATGGAATTGAGAGAGTACTCATATCCAGCCGTTGTAGATGAAGACCAAAATACCTTTGACTAAAAAAGGAATCCTAAGTATGGTTATTTCGGGAGCTTATTAGAATAAAACAGCTGATATATGACTACGTAAAACTAAATCTAAGTTGCTCCGATTCCTGTCGCATGTAAAATGCAATATTTGTTCTTCTTTTCGACCAAATGTTCTTCATCAGTGTGGTTGGTTGTATGCGTGTCTTTATGGTGTGGATATTATATGTATTTAAACATACATAATATCAATGATAACATCTGCCTATTTGAGATAAGAGTTGTGACAGAGAAAAGTCATTCCTAAATTTTTGCCAAATACAAGGTTTGCCTGGAATAGATGAAGAATCTTTCTGTTATGTGACCTTATCCTCCAAACTAAATTTTCTCTGTACCACCAGCAAATTGAGTGTCAGTAAGGATACAGTATATGTAGTATTTAAAAAATTAAAAGATATGACTGCAAAATGAAGCAATAATTCCATTAAAAATCACTCTTCCAACACCTATAAACACACTTACACCCACCCATACACCTACCTAAATAAAAAAAATATGACTGTAGTATGTGAAATCTTCAGACTTTTCAGCATTAGAGATCTAAAGCTTGTATATACTTTTGGGGTTTCTATTCCGGATTATGCAATGAATCAAAATTGTCATTGGACCGTCGTACATCAGTTTCTAGGAGTGAGCTATGATCTGGATTCTTGAGTTGGGTCAAATTTCACCTTCCAGTTTGAACATATGCTATAATTATTCACTAGATATGAAAAATGGTTATGAACTCTGGGGAAAGAGATGTAGTGAGATGTCACTCCTCAAGACGTTCAATCTTGTTAATCATAAGATAATTTTTGTAAGTAATTGCTTCTTTTGAGTTGTAATTGTTAATCAACGAATACTTCTTGCTTTCGATTTCGCATTCTCTCAGAGTGCAACACATATACACACTAGGGGAAAACCATACTTTATCCAAGTTATCATAATGAAAACTCCTAAAGTGATTTCTTTGTCAAACTTAGAAAATAAAAATTGGTTATTTACCGATAATGTTGCTTATTCTATAAAATTTAGAGCAATAGGTATAGAACAAAAATTGGGTATACAAAAAAGGTTACGACCCTGGCAGTAATGCTCATACTAATTATATATTATTGGTGGCACAATGGACTGCATAGGATAATTTATATGCAACCTATTCTTGGTCATATTTTGAACTTCCATCTGGTAAAATGAATAGTCTCATCTGGTAAGGTTAATTTCTTACCACAATTAGTAAAAGCATACCTAAGAGGTCTGATTGTTTTGTATCTCTATTATTCCACTAACAAGAATTTTTAATGGGAAATTCAGTTTTAGAGTTGAGAGTGCTTAGGAAACATTCCTTGCATTGTGTGTTTTCAAATTATTCCATATAAAATATACAATTTAAATATATACGTGTTTTACATTTTTGATTATCCTCAAGGTTGTGTTGCATTGTCGTAAAATTTGTTAAATAATTGAAAAGGCCCAAATACACGATATTAAAATGGACTCTCAGAAGAACCTAGAAGGAACGAAGAACTCAAAAGGCAGAATGAATGAAAATATCTTCCATTGTGCAGTATTTATATCACACATCACCAAGGCAACAATCCAAGGGTCAGGAATAACTCACGTGTCACTATCTCATAATAAGTGCACCATTAAGAAAAACGCATCCAGCAGGAACACAAGCCAATTTTGGGAGCACATCATAGATCAAAGGTTCGAGTCTCAACAATAATGATAGATGTGATGATTTTCTATGCCATATTGCCATTTACTTTACCTGCTGCTTAATAACTTGATCGCAAGTTATCAACAATTTCTAAGTGCTTCTCTGGCCTCAGGGACAATTTGACATCCTCTCTCTATCTGGATCTTATATGTGTACTGAACTTAGTGGTCGAACTGGAGGACTTAGTGTATGTCTGTCTAGTACTGATGGCCAAATCATTGGTGGTGGAGTCGGTGGACCCCTTACAGCTGCAGGCCCCATTCAGGTAACATTTTTATCATGATCTCAAGTAGGGGAAGAGATCTTTCTTTAGTTCTGCTGTCATCTTCTTCTTGTGTTTGGATAAAATCCAATAGCACAATATCCACTTATTTGAGCAATGATTGCCTTATATATCATTAGCATCATCCAATAAAATAATTTTGCACGTAAACCAAAAAAACTTTTCCATATTTTTCAATCAGACATTCTTCAAAACAATCATTTTTTAACAAAATCTATTCACAACAAAATGGGGCTCAAACAGGGGCTAAGTTATCTATTATGATTCTGTGTGCATGATTTATGTATGTGGTCTCACCTAAGTTGAGAAGAGTTATAGATGACTACTATAATTGGAGCTGTGGGTTTGAGTCTTAACATAAGCCACACAAAGCATGAGCTGGAGCACAAGACTTCGAGTTGTGTTTTGAATAAGCCGGTATAAAATGGGCATGGCATCTATGCCAATGAAGAATATACTTAGTAACTTTGTATGTTCAAAATGCAATTCTTTTATGAAACCATACACATGAAACTATATATGTTTTCTCAAACAAGTTTTCTGAACATCAATTACCTACTAATTCGACTAATGGCATTAATAGGTTATAGTTGGTACGTTTCTAATCGACACCAAGAAGGATATGACTGGTGGAGCTAAAGGTGATGCTACTGCCAGCAAGTTTCCATCACCAATTGGTGGGGCATCAGTTCCAGGTGTAAGCTTCCGAGCACCATTCGATTCTCCTAACCAGAATGTTGGTGGAAATCAATTCATGATTCAGCATAGGAACATGCAGTTCACACCTTCAGATTCCATGGACTGGAGAGGTAAAACAGGTCACGGTGCACTCAATTCTCCAGAAAACGGTGATTATGAGCACATTCCCGAGTAGAGAATGTACCGTTCCAGTTAATATGATGCCCTCTTGAGAGTTGCCATGGTGTTCAGGTTTTTATGAGTTTTTCTATCTTGTTGTATTGCTGTAAATTATCTGCCAACTCCTTGCCCTTCAATGCGAGTAGTTTATGTCGATAACCAAGAAGGATATGACTGGTGGAGTTAAAGGTGGTGCTACTGCCAGAAAGTTGCAACCACCAGTTGGTGGGGCATCAGTTTCAGGTGTAAGCTTCCGACCACCATCCGAGTCTCCTAATCAAAATGTTAGTGGAAATCAATTTATGATTCATCGTAGGAACATGCAGTTCACACCCACAGATTCCATGGATTGGAGAGGGAAAACAGGTCATAGTGCACTCGATTCTCCAGAAAAATTGTGATTATGAGCCTATTTCCGAGTAGAGAAGGCACTTTCCAGTTGCAGGCTAATCTGTCTATAGGAGAAAAAGTAACATATGAGCTCTAGACCCTCCGGGAGTTACCATAGTGTACAGTTTTTATGAGTTTTTCTTTTGGCAGCTGATCGGTGTAATTCTTGATGTATTACTGAAAATTTTCTGCCAACTCCTTTCCTTCCATGCTTGTCATTCATATTTATGCATCAAGTTGGCCGATACTTTTTAATACATAAAAATTGTGTTTGCTGCATAGTAGTGGACTTGACAGAACAAAATTTTTAAGCCCTTATAAATTGTCTCCGTTAACGATTTTTATCCAAATATTATGATAATGTGGAAAATCTTTTGTCCAACCTGTTTATTTGTTGTCTATCGTACTTAAAAATACAAAGCAAATGAGTTTCAGATTGGC